AAGGCAGCTATTGTAACCCTCTGAATATTAGTTTCACAGCACGGGGAAAACAAGATCGCCAATGGGTAAAAGGCAACCGCTGGGGGTGGAGAGTCTACACTGGAACCGGAGACCCTGGGTTCGTTTTCGCTATCAGGATGAAGATAGAGAGTCCGCCCGCACAACCCATAGGCCCCAATCCGGCACTTGATAACCTCCTATTCAGGCCTGAGAGACTTCCTAGTCTCACCCCATCACCAAAGGCCTCTTCCAGCCCTAATCCAATCACATCCTCCCTCCCCCCTATGAGAACCAAGGATCGCCTGGTGGGCCTGTGGCACCGGCCTGACCCCCTGCTTGCATACTTCACTTTTTAACAGTACTAGGGACTTTTGTATTTTGGTCCAGCTGGTGCCTAGGGTCATCTATCATGATGATAGCTCATTTATAGATGAATTTGATCACCGTACTCGTTACAAGAGGGAACCTGTTACCCTGCCCTTAGCTGTCTTGTTAGGACTAGGAGTAGCAGCAGGGGTTGGAACTGGGGTAGCTGCTCTTGTCCAACAACCGTCCTACTATAATGAGCCTAGAGCGGCTGTGGATGCAGACCTGGGAGCGTTGGAGCAGTCCATAACTAAACTAGAAGAGTCATTGACTTCACTGTCAGAGGTAGTGCTGCAAAACAGAAGGGGATTAGACCTGCTTTTTCTTAAAGAGGGAGGGCTCTGTGCTGCCTTAAAGGAAGAATGTTGCTTTTATGTAGATCATTCGGGTGTCATCAGAGATTCCATGACAAAGCTTAGAAAAAGGCTAGAAAGCAGAAGTTTATGTAGATCATTCGGGTGTCATCAGGGACTCCATGACAAAGCTTAGAAAAAGGCTAGAAAGCAGAAGAAAAGAAAAAGAAGCATACCAAGGATGGTATGAAAATTGGTTTAATCGGTCACCTTGGTTCTCTGGTCTCCACCTTGGCCGGGCCTTTAATCATTTTGATGCTGATCCTAACCTTCGGGCCATGTATTCTCAATAGGCTGGTGGCATTTATAAAAGAAAGAATAAGTGCTGTCCAGGTAATGGTCTTAAGACAGCAGTACCAGATACTACAAGAAACTGAGGGATCGCTCTAAGATTAGAGCTATTTACAAGAAGAAGTGGGGAATGAAGAGTAAAAAAATTACTAGCTGTCTATAAGAACATGGGCTCGTCACCTTGGGACCCCGTCCCCTGCAGGTGGCCGCTCCTGGAACTCTCATGAGAAAAAACAGTTCCTGGGATAACCACAGGATGTCCCAACGACTTCTGTGGAATGTTCAAATGCCCCAGGTGTGTCCACATAGTTTAACTGATGAGTAAATGTGTAACTTTGGGCTTCCCCTATTTCCTCCCTAGTCCTCCCCCTCCTTTGTGGTTTTTTTTGTCACAAGTTTGGGTGGGGGTCGAACTCCTCTACCCCTGCGTGGTATATGAGTCTCGACCCCAGCATGCTGGCCTGAGATCTCATTCAATTCCATTTTCAATAAACTTCCTCGTGTGATTGCAGCAAGTCCAGTCTCGGTGCCTCACTGGGTGCGAGCTATTCTCGAGATTTGAGTGAGGGTCTCCCTTCGGGGGTCTTTCAATATAACTTAGAACATTTTCTTAGACCCTCAAAATTTACATAGACTTTAACACTTTTTCTTTCCATGTAACCATTTACCAGAAACACAAGCAGTTATTACTGAGAACAATCCTTGCAAATCATTTTCCTTTAGTGGAAAGTTACATCTGAAAACCTGTTTATACTTAAGCCTGTTAGCAAGGCAAACCTGTCTACCTTTTCTCCACAGGGTACCTAGTGGCTCTAGAAAAAGCAAGGCTTGATTTTTACATATGAAATAAGCTGACAAGGTGGCTATAGCCTTGGGGAAGACCTTAGTTGTGTGCTGCTGCTAAAGTTGACACAAAACCTATCTGTCAATAGTATCAGACATCTGAGAAGGATAAATTATAGCATGAAGTATAATCCAAATTGCCTACATATCAATTACAATGGCAGAGACTACTCCATTACCTAGAGGGCCATTGCAGGCTCCTGTGGTCTCCAGTGGTGTTGGGGACAGAGGTACCAGGACAGCACCAGTCTTCAGCTGCGAGGCCCAGAAGGTGGGAGGCTTTCCTGTGGATGCAGAACATGGAAGAAACTGACCTTACTTTGGGCAAAGTGGGACAATCAACTGTTCAGTGTCCTGCTTGTACACAGTTTGGGATAGGTCCTGCATTGGGGAAGTATTGCCCAGTAGATAGCATTACCGCAATCCAGGGGGAGACATTATTGTGCTCTGTCATCTTTGGAGATCTTGGGGTCACTGCTAGGATCTGGGAATCTCTGTCTGTCACAGTTAGCTTTTTTCCATTCAACATTTTAAATGCCATAGTTTTCAGATCTCTGACAAAGTTTTGAGGACCATTTTCTACTAAATATATCTGAGTTAAACAAACATAGGCTTAACCTTGAAAACATAAGTTTGATTATTATAGATGACTGACTACTTTCTTATTATATTTTTAACTGAGCCGAATCTCTACCTGTGTATTCATGTAGCCCACTGCTCAATTTGATTTTTTCCTTTGGATTCCTCACTGTATGGTACTTACCATGTCTCAAGATGTCTTTCTACACAGCTGTGTTTCTTCCCTTGTTTCCTCTGTAGGCTCCTGGTTTCTTAATCAGGAACCCAAGCAACACCTTTAACTTTACTCTGTTCTTTCCTAAACTGTGTTCAACCTAACCATCAAATACTATACATTGTACCTCTTAGATACAGCTGATTTTAACTTGTGATGGGACTCTTGTCCTGTAAGTCCATTACAAGATTAAATTATGATTGTAAGTTGAAAATGTGTTTAAGGTCTACTTGGACAGCAGCATAGGCTGACAGCACAGCACACGGGATATGAGTTTTCTCCTCCGGTAGCGTGGGTGACTGGGGGCTGTTGCTCTCCTCTGTGCTCCGGTTAGCAAGAAAGGATCACTTCTATATAGCTAGCCTGAGAAAAGATCAGCCCTTGGAAGGCAGAAGCAGGAGTTCAAGGTCAGCCTGGACTATGTGAGACCCTGTATGAAAAACCAAGCCAAAAGATTGGTTTGGTTCTGTGAAGTCTTTTGTGATTAAATATGAACTTTATGGTTGTTAATTTTTTCTGAAATAATTTTCTTGTGAAAATGTTTTCATGGAAAATGTCCATGAAATTTTGATAAGCGATTATACTGAAACTGCAGACTGTCTTGTATACCATGGAGATTTTAATAGTGTTCTGGATGGCTTATTCTGTCTCTTCTTCAATATCCATCACCGATACTGTACCATGTTCAGTGTGGTGACCTCTCACCACCTAGGTTAAATTCATTTAAAGCCTTACTTTTGCATGCATTTAAATGAAAATTTGAAAACTCTTTTGTGACCAGATCTTATTCATGTATAGAAATGCTGCTGGTTTGGCCATTGGCTTCATGCGCTGCAGCTATTACAGAACCAGTTCTCAGTTCTAGGAGGCTTTGGGAGTCAGTTTTCTCTGTGTGGAGGTATTTTTACTTCTTCTAAATCCATGCACCTTTAGTTTCTTTCTTTCCTCAAATGGCTGAATACAGGCATTGAGATTGGCCGCTTTGCCGTGTCCCTGGTCTTAGAGGAAAGCTTTCATTTCTCTTTGTTGGGTGCGATGCTCACCGTAACCCTGTCACATACGGCCTTCATTGTGTCGGCGCTCATTCCTTCTGTACCCAGTCTGTTCAGTTTTCACTATGAAAAGATGTTGAATCTGCTAAGTTGCCTTTCCTGCATCCATCAGTATTACCACAGGGCTTTTGTTTTTCATCCCAGATAAGATGAGCTTCATTCATAGATTTGATGGTGTTGAACCCAGGGTTCACTTCTTCATAGTATATAATCCTTTTGATACAGTTCTGAAGTCTATTTGGTAGAATTTTTTTTTAAGATTTATTTTTATTTTATGTGTATGAGTGTTTGTTTGCCTGTATGTATGTGTACCATGTGCATGTAGTGTCTGTGGAGGCCAGAAGACGGCACTGGATCCCCTGGAGCTGGAATTACAGTTGTAAGTCACCATGTGGGCGCTGGGCACAGAACCCAGATCCTCTGCAAGAACAGCCTTGTAGTGCTTGTAACCCGTTGACCAGTATTTGAGGTTTTTTTGTATTTCTAAGTTCATCCTGAATATTGGCCTGTAATTTTCTTTTCTTCAATTGTTCTTGTCTTGCTTTTGCATAGTGCAATTATGGAAATGAGTTTGAAATTGTTCTTTCTTCATTTTTTTTTTTTTTAATATTCTGAGGGGGATTGGTGTGAACTTTTCTTTAAATGCTTGACATTTTCCAGGAAAGCCTTCTGGTATGAGGGAAGCTTTTGCTAACTGATTCAGTCTCTTTTTACTGCTCTGCTTAGATTTTTTGGGTGTTTTGTTTTGTGCTTTTCATGATTCAGTCTTACAGATTGAGTTTCTAGGGGGTTTATTCATTTCCTGTGATTATCTAATTTGTGGGGTCATAACTTTTCACAGTAGGTTCTTACAGTCCTGTGTGTATCACTTATTATAATTTATCCTTATAATTTCACTTTAGACTACCTCTGTTTTTCATATTAAATGTAATGTTTTTCTCTTTGTTTATCTTTTCTTTTTATCATTTGTAAGTTAGTAGCATTTTTTTCATTTTTCTGTGCACGTGTATCCTTACCCATTGTTACTGTTCACATTTTGCCCTGTCCTCCATGGCTTCTCCTCTTCTTGCTGGTTTTTTTGTTGTTCTGTTTAAAAAATTTTTTTTTTTTTTTTTTTTTTTTTTTTTTTTTTTTCTGGTTTGATGTCACATAAATCCCACTACCCTCTCTTGTCCTCTTTCCCCCTCCCTCCCTTTAGCCCCCCTGCCCCCTTCATATGCCCTATTCAACTTTCATGCTCTATTCACATAAACACACCTGTATAATTTTATTCTACGTTCCTTATATGAGAGAAAACACAATATTTGTCTTTCTGAGTCTTAACTTAATTTGCATGACATGACTTCCATCTCCATCCATTTTCCTGCCAATGTTTCATTCCCATTCATAGCTGAGTGAAGCTCTGTTGCTCCTATACGCTGTGTTCCTCTGTCCATTCATCTGTCCATGAACCACTGTGCTGCTGTGGGTAGTGCAGAAAGAGCTCAGGTGGACAGCTCTCTGTGTGCTGACTTGGAGCCCTCAGGTATGTGTCTTGGAAGGAAAGAATTTCAGGATGAGCCAGGATGAAGCAGAGTTAGAATTTATTAAAAGACATTTGCAGGGCTGACAAGATAACAGGTAGAAAGTGTTTGCTGTACAAGCCTGATAACCTTAGTTTATCCCTGGGACCCACAATGAAAGGAGAGAACCAATTTGCAAAAGTTGTCCTCTGACCAACACCCTCCCCCACACACAGAATAAAAATGTATTTGGTAAGTGTTTTGGAGTCCTTAATCTTCACCTGGCAGGAGGCAGGAGGCAGGAGGCTTCAGCTAGACTCTGAAGATGCTGCCCTCCTTTCTTGATCACGTTTCTTTCTATCTGACCTTGGTTGGTTAACAGGTATTTGGGGAGACAAATAAGATATGTAGGTGTGTTGTTTATAGCCATGAAGATCTAGCAAAGCAAGTAGTCAGAGCAGGAATAGCTTTATCCTTGTATGGCCTGAGAATTCTAAAACACAGTCAGTGGGATGATTGTGATTCTAGTAACTTCTGGGGAGTCCCTGACCCTCCTTCCTGACTTGTAGACTCTACTTCCCTTTTCTAATGTCACCACCAACTGTTCAAATCATCTTGTCCTTTTAAATCTACTGGTCATGGTTCTTTGTTGAAT